TCCATACCAGGTGGTGGTCTCATATACACTTCATCTTCAAGCTCTCCTTGTAGAAATGCATTTTTGACATCCATTTGCCAAAGATCCCATTCTAGATTCACGGAAAGAGACAAAAGAATCCTGATGGTGTGAAGCTTGGCTATTGGTGAAAATGTCTCAAGATAGTCTTCTCCATACACTTGTGTATAGCCTCTTGCCACAAGCCTGGTCTTCTTTCTCTCCGGCTTTCCATTGGCCAAGTATTTTATGGTGAACAACAGCATGCTTGTCACTGTCTTCTTGCCTTTGGGAAGTTATGTTTCAAACCAGGTTCCATTCTTGATCATGGCTCCAATCTCATCTCCCACAGAGTCTCAAGATAGTCTTCTCCATACATTTGTGTATAGCCTCTTGCCACAAGCCTGGTTTTCTTTCTCTCCGGCTTTCCATTGGCCAAGTATTTTATGGTGAACAAGAGCATGCTTGTCACTGCCTTCTTGCCTTTGGGAAGTTCTGTTTCAAACCAGGTTCCATTCTTGATCATGGCTCCAATCTCATCTCCCATAGAGTCTCTCCACTCATCTATCTCCATTGCTTCTTCATATGTTCTCAGAATGAACTCTTGGTCCACACTGGTCATGAAGGCTTGGTGGTCTATAGGAAAGTGAGCTAGAGAGCATGTAGCTTGAGTAGGATGAGCCACGACTTGTGAGTTGAAATACACTCTTGTATTAACCCAATTTATGATTGTTGAAGGATGCTTGATCATAGTGCTTCTCCTTAATGGTTGAACAGTTTCTTCAGTTGGTGTAGCCTCATCATCCTGATCTCTACTACCCACTGGTTCTTCTGGTTGCTCTTCTTGATCATGAGAAGCTGAGATTTCTGGTTGTTGCTCAGTTTGGTTCCCCCCCCCCCTCAGGATCAAGGAGATTTTCCTCGGCAACTTCATTTATAGGACCCTCTTGGTCTCTATTATTTGTGGACCTTGATTGGTTTGGTCTTGGCTCAGTTTCTACACTCCTCCTTGGTATACTGATGCCAATGCTCTCCATAACTCTTCTCATATTCTCGCCTCTATCTGAGGCAGATTGGGACAGGTCTTTTACTTCATCCCAACTCTTTTCTTCATAGTAGCTTTTTGATTCAACAAACCTCACATCTCTAGAGATTAAAACCCTCCTTGTTTCTGGTACATAACACTTGTATCCCTTTTGGTGAGGAGAATAGCCAATGAACATGGCCCAGGTGCTCTTAGGTTCAAGCTTGTTTCTTTGTTCTCCTGGAATCAACACAAAGCACAAACACCCAAATACCCGAAGATGATCTATAGATGGTTTAGTTACTCATGTGGTGACTGATCTTTCAAGACTTTGGTGGGTATTTTGTTGATCAATGACCAAGCTTTCATCACTGCATCTCCCCAGAATCTCTTTGGTACATTCATGTGAAACATCATACTTCTAGCCACCTCCATAAGATGCATATTCTTTCTCTCGGCCACCCCATTTTGCTGAGGAGTATATGGACATCTTATTTGGTGAATTATGTCATGTTTTGCCAAGAAACTCTTGAATGCAAGGCTTGTGTACTCTCCACCATTATCTGACCTCAGAATCTTCACATTTGCCTTGAAATGATTAACCACATAAGCTTGGAAGTTCACAAAAGCTTCTAGAACACGGTCCTTAGATGGTAGCAATGTAAGCCATGTGTATTTCGACTTCTCATCTATAAAGGTGACAAAATACTTGTGGTTGTCTCTGGATACACATGGAGAGGTCCAGACATTAGAGTGTACCAGGTCGAAGCACTTCTCATAGACAGTTTTTGATGTTGGGAAGACAGATTTGCAATGCTTTCCCAAGATGCATGCTTCACACTCCAAGTTGTTGAGGGAGACTCCAGGTAAGATAAGCTTCAGAGCTCGAGCATGAGGGTGAACCAACCGGCCATGCGACATAGTGCCCTCACTAGTAGGTGATGCACTGGTCATACACACAAGAGAATCCGGCAGTCTTGATCCATTGGTGTTTTGGAGATGATATAGATCACCCTTGCTGGTTCCCTTACCAATCACTTTCCCTGTCTCAAGATCCTGAAACTCAACATCATTGGGTCTAAAAACCACCTGAAAATCCAAGTCAACCGTAACTTTCTTCACAGACAAGAGGTTAGATGCAAAACTAGGCATATATAAGGCATTGGACTGTCTATCAAATAGCTTGAGGTTCCCTACTCCATCTCTCTTTACCAAATTTCCATTAGCAATTTTTACATTTCCTAAGGATGGTCTAATATCACTAATGAGATTCCTATCCTTGATCATATGATGGCTAGCTCCGGAATCAATAATGATAGGATCAGAGGTATGAGAGTGTATACCAGACCGCTTTGCATAAATAATTGCCTTTGCTGCTTTGATCAGTGGCTGAATGTCCTTCACATTGATTAGATCCTCATCTGCCACTGCTCTCTCCAAGTACCTCCTCCATAGATTCGCTTGTGAAGGCTGAGTACATAGTTGTTCCTTCATGTGCCATCTTAGGGACAGAATCACCATCTTGTGTGAGTTCTTTTGCCTCCGACCTAAGAGTACCCATCCTGATGTTTCTTTTGACATGTCTCTTCCTGGTCTTTTTGTGTCCAGGAACCAACATCATTCTTTCCTTCTTCTTTGACCTTTTCTTGAAATGTGACTGTCTTCTTCTTGTAAACAGACCGTGAGATGTTTGTTCCCTTTGGATTAGAGCAAACACATCATCTAGATTTGGTAGCTTGTCTTCCCTCATAACATGCTTTATAAGCTGGTTGTATGAGGCGTTTAAGGTCAGTAAGAGACTAAAGACAACATCTTGCTCTTCTCTTTCTCTTAAGACCTCCGGATCACAAGAGCTTGGTCTCAACATCTTTAGTTCTGACCAGAGGCTCCTAAACCTTCCAAGATGCTGATTGAACTCTTCTCCATCTTGTCTCAGGTTGTTGATAGCAAGCTTTACTTCAAACACCCGGCTTAGGTTAGAGAGATTACCATATACCTTTTTAAGAGTATTCCACAACTCTTTGGAGCTCTCACAGTGGGAGTTGAGCAAGATCCTTCTGAACCCATTTGCCATATCCAGGCTGGTTTGGATGGTTGACAATGTCATAAGATCCTTCTGAACCCATTTGCCATTCGCACCTCCTACCACTTCAGTACCATCCTCTCCTTGGACAATGTCTTTAGAATACTTGTCTCCTGTCACATAAGACCAGAGACCTCTTCCTCCTAAGGCTGTTTGAACAAGCCTAGACCACAGAAGATAGTTCCCACCTTTGAGAGTGACTGGAATAAGGTTTTTAGAAAATGTTTCCATTCTTGGTAATTTCTGGAGCTGTAGAGGAAGAACAGCTCAAGAACACCAAGAACTTTGCCAAAAATAGATATGAAAAATCAGAGATTTGCGGAAGTAAGATGAGAATAAAAGAGAATAGGTCTCAAGAGCATACACTCTCTGATACCATGAGAGTTTAAGAGATTTAGGATAGAGATTTAGAGAGAGTTTAGATTAAGACTGATTAGAAACAAGATGGATCTGAGAGAGAGAGAGAGAGAGTGAGAGACAAAGAGAGTATAAGGAAGAATATGTTTTCCTTGATTCATTTTGGTTCTGGTTACATGCTTAATAAAGACCTACAAGGGTCACATGATGACAAAGGTAAAACAATAAACAAAGAGGTTCCTAGAAGACAAAAGGCTCAGACAGATGGTGTAATAGTGACATCTCCCCCACCTCTCTCTTCCTTACCAAGACATGTGATCTTCTCTTGTTACCTAGCTCCAACGGTCCACTCCTTTATTTAACTCATTTTCTTGTCTTTGGGAGTGATCCCACGAGTTGCCTAAGCTTAGACAGATCCCATTCTTGCCTTAGACTCCAAGTTAGGTTGCCAAGATGCATCCGTACACATGTACCAACCAACATGCTTCTCTAGTCGTAGACATGTACCAACCAAACCCTAAACTGTACGAATGTACCCAAAAACATCTTTCCTTGTCCAGGACATCTCCTTGCATTCTCTATCTTTGTGTGAACCATTTTAGTGCTTCATCTCAACAGGTTGTTCTTGTTGTTCTTGACTTCTTTTCCGTATGATTCTTTCTTGTTCAGACGAATGTACTCACGAATATTAATATCACCGATATAAGCTAAGTTTTTTAGCAATATTTTATTTTCCTCTTTGACTTCTTTTAAAGCTTTTTTTTTTGCTTTATTTTTCATTCATAATTCAATCATCTCATGATATTTATCCTTGTTTGTTGCACTTTCTTTTAAAAAATCAAGAATTTGTTAGTTGGAAATATGTGATATTTTGCTTGTAGTTTTATATTTAATTATGTATTTCTATTTCTAGTTTTATATTTTAATGTAGAATTTTATTAATTAATATTTTTATATATGTATTAGCTATTTATCAAAGTTTTTTGCATTTTTATTAATTGTGAAAAATATAAAGACCATAATGTAATATACAAATAATTTTGAAGTTAGTTTTGAAGTTTTTCTTTTGGAGAAGAATACTTTACACTTAAAATTTAAAGTTTGTGAAACTTCAAAATAGAGTTTTTTTTTTTTGGAGACGCTCTTAGAGAAGTGTAAGCTTGGAAATAAATCTGATTTCTTAACTAAAAGGTATTTAAAAAGGGTGAACTCCTTCCATAAAAAGCTAATAAAATAAAAACAAACAAAAAAAAATAAATTAGCTTTCGATGACAAAAAAAAAAAATATTAAACATTTTCCAATAATAATTCTGACTCTGAGAGAGAGAGAAGGCACAGTGTTGTGTTGTGATCTTATTTGTTTGTCGAAATCTGGGAATCATCTGATAACTCTCCTCATCGGTTTGCCGTGAGAGAAGAAAACAAACGGCGAGCTCAATCGGTTTCACTCGTGATCCGGCTAGTTCCTGATCGTCGGATCAGCCTTTGTATACATCCCGAGGAGTGTGTTTGGGTGAATCGGAGAGAGAGAGAGAGGGAATGAAGGGTGAAGATGATGAGGTGGTCGCAGCTTCGGAAGACTCATCTCTTCCTCTGGAGTGGAGATTCTCTCAGGTCTTCGGTGAACGCAGCGCTGGTGAAGAAGTTCAAGAAGGTCTTTGCGATTCATTCTCGATCTAATCTTGTCTAATTTGGACTAGGTTTCCTAAATCTATATTGGGTATTCTTAGATTGAATACGTTTATGCTCTTGTAGCTGAGCTTGTGTAGTTGGTGTTTCCTCTTTGCAGTTGATGTCATTTCAGAAATCGAGTTTGATCAATTCGGCGACCATCTTGCTACTGGTGACCGTGGAGGACGCGTTGTTCTTTTCGAGAGAACCCATGTCACAAATGTAATGTCTCCACTTTGTTGCAAACGATATCTGAAAAAAAACATGGGAATTTGACATTAGGGTATATGTTGTTGCATGCTATATCAATCACAGAGCAGTGGAGGAGCTAGAAGGGATCTTGAAGAGACTGGTTATCCACTGAGGCACCCGGAGTTCCGTTACAAAACAGAGTTTCAGAGTCATGACCCTGAGGTATTATCATTTACTCTCTTTTACTGATTACAGTATGTTCCTTTTACTCTTGTCTTTTCATGCTTCATCCTTGTCTTCCAGTTTGATTATCTCAAGAGTTTGGAGATAGAGGAGAAGATAAACAAAATTAGATGGTGTCAAACAGCCAATGGCGCTCTTTTTCTCCTTTCCACAAACGATAAAACCATCAAGTATTGGAAGGTGACAACATCCTTTATTTATTTGTTGGCCTCCTCAATGACTTACTATTTGTTTTGGTGTATAGTTTTGTGCTTTGCTTCTGGATATTTAGGGTGTACCAACGATAAGTCTGATACTTTAATGGCAATTGGCATTGCTTTGTTAGCTTGCTGCTGTATCTAAATGGTTCTATGTCCTTAATGTTGTAAAGAGTTTCTGTTCGGATACATTTTTTTTTCTATCAGTAACCTCTTGATATGTGCATTACTCATGTGAGTGTTAACAGGTTCAAGACAAGAAAATCAAGAAAATTTGTGAAGTAAATTCAGATCCTGAAGGGGTTGCAAGCTCGAGTAATTCAAGCATTACAACTGCATGCCGTGGGAACGGAGGAGCTCCTGAAGCCATCTCAACGCTGCGGTTGCCAGTGGTAGTAGTATTCTGAACAATGTTTTTCTTTTTTATATGTGGCTTCCTAAATATATTAAACATTCTAGTTGCAGCTCGACTTGTGCTTCATAGTTCTAATCTTCAATGCTCTTTGATTAGGAATTGATTCTAAAGTCATACAAAGTTACTTGGTATTTGCTCATTTGTAGACTAATAGTTCATTTTGACATATATAGGTAACTAGCCATGAGTCGAGCCCAGTGGCTAGATGTCGAAGAGTCTATTCTCATGCTCATGATTATCATATCAACTCGATCTAAAATAATAGGTAGGTTATTCATAATCAACCATTTATAATTACTATAACTGCTTTTTCCCTGTGAGAGATGTCATTGTAAGGCGTCTGATGATTCAGTGTTCTTCTTGATTATCAATCCATATTAGCTTCAGATCCATACTTTCATTGTCAATGTTAGGCTCCGAAACTTTTTTTTGCTCTTTAAATCAGTGACGGCGAAACATTTATTTCTGCTGATGACTTACGGATAAATCTTTGGAATCTGGAGATTAGCAATCAAAGTTTCAATATTGTTGATGTCAAGCCTGAGAAAATGGAGATCTATCTGGTAAGCAAGCCGTGGTTTACTGTTCTTTCAGGCCAATATGTTCCCTACATTTTAGGGTGGTCTATTTTGAGATATATTCTGTGTAACTAATACAGCTTTCTGTCTAGCAGAGGTTATCACATCAACAGAATTTCATCCTACCCATTGCAATATGTTAGCTTATAGCAGTTCGAAAGGCTCAATTCGCCTGATTGATCTGCGCCAATCAGCTCTATGTGATTCACATTCCAAATTGTAAGTCTTGAGAGGACTACCCCAACTACTTCTCTACTTCATCAAAGTTTGCTAATATCTCTCGTTACCTTTCTTTGGAAAAGAAACATCCTTACCAACACAAGAGATAAGTGTCGAGCAGCAAAGGCTAACACTGCTCATTTCTGCAGGTTTAAGGAACCAGAGGCAGCAGGTCCTAAATCGTTCTTCACTTAGATAATTGCTTCAGTGTCAGACATCAAATTTGCGAAAGAAGGAAGATATCTCCTTAGCCGTGACTACATGACACTTAAGGTCTATACTTTCATTGGCATTAGATATGATATGCCCTTAAATCTATCAGTGGCTGGTTTCGAATTCTTGTCGTAAGGTTAACTGAACTTATGGTTATGCTTTTTCTTTTCAGTTATGGGACATCAACATGGATTCAGGTCCGGTCTCAACTTTCCAGGTTCATGAATATCTGAAACCAAAGGTAAGTTCCCTATACTTTTGAGAGAGAGATTCATTTGACAAGCTGGTACGTAGCTGATTGATACTCCCTCTCCCTTGGCCAATTTCAGCTCTGTGATTTATATGAAAATGATTCCATCTTTGACAAGTTCGAGTGTTGTATAAGTGGCAATGGACTGCGAGCGGCTACAGGTTCTTACAGGTATGCCCCGGAAAGCAGAGCACCGTTTCTTTGTTATTAGCAAATTACTACGGTTCCATGTATGCTCATTCCTTCCTCTCACATGCTCTGTCCAGCAATCTATTCCGTGTTTTCGGTGTTTCCCCGGGAAGTACTGAGACTGCAACCTTAGAAGCAAGCAGAAATCCGATGAGGTAAACTTGATTTAAAGCTATTCAGAGTTAAGTGTATTTGATCTTCTCTTTCTTCTCAGTGAAATGGAACTTCTTTTGTTTTGTGGTTTATTATAGGAGACATGTCCCAGTTCCCTCGAGGCCATCTAGACTAGGCAGTATAGCGCGTGTTGTAGGTAGAGGTCAGTCTCTCTTTCTCTTTTCTCATTGAAGCACATTGATACCGCCATCAAATTTGTAATTTTACACTGAATGGTCAAAAGCAAGATCAGAGAGTCATGGAGTCGATGGGAATAGCAATGCTTTTGATTACAAAACAAAGTTGCTGCATCTTGCTTGGCATCCAAATGAGAACTCAATTGCTTGCGCCGCTGGAAATAGCTTGTACATGTACTATGCTTAGACACAATACTCAGCAAAAAAGAAGCGCATTTTCTCTGCCCTAGACTCTGTTTTTCTTGGTTCCTTCTGGTGGATAATGGGAATTGCTATATACATCATTATCATTACTGATCACATAAGCTCTTTAATCATCAAGAAGGGAAGAGAGAAAAAATCTGATTAAAAGAAATAGTGATTTTAGTAAAAGCTAATCTCATGACTTTTGGATTGGATATAGATTAGATTTTCACAATTGTTTTCTGGTCTTGTGTAATCATTGTTTTATTGATTCTTTTTGTTAAACTTGTTTCTCCGTAGTTGACTTATTAAATGATATATTTCAGTTTATTAGTATTATTTTCTTGGGAAATTGACAAAATAACCTTTAACTTTCGAAAATAAGCCAAAAAAATCTTCAACTCACAAGCAAGCCATTTTAATCTTTAACTTCTAGTCAAACACGAATAAATCTTATACTTTCGTTGACCAAACCATTTTAATCTCGTCAAAATTTAACAGTTTAATTCCGTTAGTTATATTTAACGGTTGACTTTAATGAGCCTAAAATGGCTTGATCAACGAAAGTATGTGATTTTTTAATCCTAATTTAAAATTGAAGATTAAAATTGTTTACTTAAAAGTATCCTAATTTTTTTCTGACAGAAAAAAATATAATTTTTCCATATCGATTATAAATCATTAACTTAATAAAATATGTTTAAATACGTTTAGATATAATATTTAAAAATGAATTAAAAACAAAAAAATTCTATACATCAGCTGTCGGAAATCCCTATCACGCACTTGACTTCCTCATTTTCACTTGTTTCATCCTCTATTGAGTATATGTGATTATACTTTTAACAACAATGTGTTTAGGGTTTTACCTTTAACTTTTCTGTTTTTATTCTTAAATGTTTTTGAACATAAGCACTTAATTATTTTATTTTATATCTGAATTTACAGTATACTTGTATTTTTAATCAAGTTTTTTACTAAACAATTTTTTCTTTTTAATTCGTTTAGAAATATTATAACTAAGCTTATTTGAACATATTTTATTAAGTTTGTCATTCTAATCGATATGATAAACTATAATTTTTGTTGAAAAAAATAAAAACAAAATAGTAATTTTTAATTAAGATATTTTTAAGTGAACAATTTTAATCTTCAATTTTGAAATTAAAATAAAAAATCTCATACTTTCGTTGACCAAGCCATTTTAGACTCATTAAAAGTCAACCGTTAAATATAACTAACGAAACTAAACGGTTGAATTTTGACGAGATTAAAATGGCTTGGTCAACGAAAATATGAGATTTATTCATGTTTAACTAGAACTTGAAGATTTAAATGGCTTGTTTATGAGTTAAAGATTTTTTTGGCTTATTTTCAAAAGTTGAAGGTTTTTTTGTTATTTTTCCCATTATTTTCTTGTTTATTTATTTTGGCCTTTTCGAGATCAACAGACAAAAGCATGCAACCTCCCCTCCACACTCCCTCCAAAGGACGGTTCATGCAAGTGTTGAAAATGGATAATTTGGATATTAAAAATAGAATTCACAAAATATTCAATAATTTTTTTCTATTTTATTTTTCATTTGATGTTTTATTCCACAAATAATCATTTTGTTATTCAGTATATATTTTTAAATTCATTACCCTTATAAACTTCTATTAGTTGATATCAATACTATTAAAACATACACATTCTTTTTAATGAATGATTTATTTTTTCCAAATTTATCCTTAATCTTATGAATAAATTTAATTTTTTATTAATGACAATTTTGTTTTTTTTTTCTTTTTGGACCTAAAAACTATATACTAATGAGTTTAATTAATGGGCTCAATTCACTTTTTAATTATTTCTGAAATTTCTTTAAAAATAAATACATCAACCTTAATTGGCGTAGTTAGAGATGTGAATTTTGATATTAGTCTGCGAGTCTCGCCCCCTTTGCCCTGCCACGGAACGGGTCGATCAATTTAAAAAAATTAAGTTGTGGGTTTGGGTCAAGTGTATTTGACGTGGAACGGGTGCAGATTATTCTCAATTCAATTGCTGATACCCGGCAATCCGCAAAAATAGAAAAATATAATTTTTTATACAGAGTTTATTTTTCAAAAATATACTAAAATCGTTAAAATAATTAGTATATTTTAAATATTTAAAATTAAAAACATACTATTTAATAAAAAAAAAAGAATTATTTTATTATTTAATAATTATCTGCGGGTTCCGCGGATTACTCATAAGATTAAGTGGGACGGATGCAGATAAAATATATTTTCTTAGCGGGTCAGGCTGGTCAGGCAAGGCAAGTTTGACCCGTTTCCCAGCACCAGCGGAGTTAATAGATATTATTTTCTCATAGTAAAACTACAAAATTACATACAATACATTTACATATATATATTGATGATAACAAGAAATTAAAATCTGTATTAATTTTAAAATTATATTAGATATTGACATTTTATATCATCAAAGTAAAAGATTTATCGATCTATCTGTAGATTAAAGAACAAAAATGGTATCCGTGTTTTTTAAGCGCGGATCAAAAATCTAGTAAAAGTTTATATTACTAGATCAATTTTTCATTTGTTATAATAATAGTAAAGGCGTTCTAGATTATTCACGAGAATGGAGCTGATCATGGACATACTACTAGTCTTCTTTCTTTTCTTAAACCAAAAAGAGTTCATGTTTTAAGCCGTGATATCCCATAGATCTGGAGTCAGATTCTGTTGACACTACAAGAAAACTAAGAAATTATAAGGAAATTTTATTAGGAAAATAATTTCTCATAAATTTACTACAAACTTACTTCGGTTTTACGAGGAAAACTTGTTTCCTCGTAAGGTCCTCGTACAGCTACGAGAAACAGTTTTCCTCGTAACACCGTAGTAAGCTTACGGGGAAATTACGTGGCAAAAGTCCATTTCCTCGTAAGCCCATAGTAAGACACTTTCCTCGTAAAGTCCTAGTACAACCTTACTACGAAACTAAGAGGAATGGATTTGTTACTACGAAATTAGGAGGAACTAGATAGAAAATATCAAATTTAAATCAAAAACGTGTTTTGTACCTACGTTTCCTAGCAATTTTCTAGTAAATGCTCAGATTCAAAAATTTCTATAAATACCACAATTTGTGATTCATTTGAAACACACAAAAAAAAAATCAGCTATAAGCTTGATCAAACACAAAAAAAATGTCCGGTCCAGAAAATATTTTCGAGTTGCGGAAGTGGATGTATTCACACATAGATAATAACGGGAGGGTGACGAAAGAATTTATCGAAGGGTTGGAGACGTTTATGCATCAAGCAGATTCTACACCACTCACGCAGGAAAGTGGTAAGATGTTTTGTCCTTGTCGGAAATGCTGTAATACAAAATTAGGCCCTCGTGAAAATTTTTGGAAGCATTTAATAAATAGAGGTTTCATGCCATATTATTATATTTGATATCAACATGGAGAAGACGATGCTAGTTGTAGGAATGAAGGTAGCAGTAGTAATAGCAATTTTCAGGTTGAATTGGTTGATCATTTGCGTAATGAAAATAGCTATCATCACCAAGAGGAACAAATGGTAGACTGTGATAGGGTTCATAATATGGTAGGTGATGCATTTGTAACTCATGATGATGATGAAGTTGAAGAACCTAACTTAGATGCAAAAAAGTTTTATGAAATGTTAGAAGCTGTGAATGAGTCAATTTACAGTGGTTGTAGAGAAGGTCTGTCTAAATTGTCGTTGGCTGCTAGAATGATGAGTATTAAAACCGATCACAATCTACCTGAAAATTGTATAGATGCATGGGCAGACTTGTTTAAAGAGTATTTGCCAGAAGACAATGTGTCTGCTGAATCTTATTATCAGATTCAGAAATTGGTATATAGTCTTGGGTTGCCCTCGGAGATGATAGACGTTTGCATCGACA